AGGAGACCCTATACCATTTCTGACAGATGGCAGTCCAATCTCTTCTTGAAAGTCTCAAGTGATGGCGTTCCCACAACGTCCAAGGGCAAGCTGTTCCATTGGTTGATTGTTCTCACTGTCAGAAAGTTTCTCCTTATTTCCAGGTTAAATCTCTCCTTGTTCAGTTTCCATCCATTATTCCTTGTCTGGCCTTTGGGTGCTTTAGAAAATAGCTTGACCCCTTCTTCCCTGTGGCAGCCCCTCAAATATTGGAAGATTGCTATCATGTCTCCCCTGGTCCTTCTCTTTACTAGACTAGCCAAGCCCAGTTCCTGCAACTGTTCTTTATATGCCTTAGCCTCCAGTCCCCTAATCATACTGGTTGCTCTTCTCTGTACTTTTTCTAGAGTCTGAACATCCTTTTTATAATGTGTGAACAAAACTGGATGCAGTACTCTAGCTGTGGTCTTACTAAGGCTTTATAGAGTGGTGTTAGTACCTCCCTTGATCTTGCTCTCACTGTCATAAAATTTATCCTTATTTCTCGGTTGAATCTTTTCTTGATCAGTTTCCATCCATTATTCCTGGTCTGGCCTTTGGGCACTTTGGAAAATAGCTTGACCCCTTTCTTGCTGTGGCAGCCCCTCACATATTGGAACACTGCTATTATGTCTCCCTTGGTCTTCATTTATTTGGGACAATAACTCTAAATTGTACCAAATGTTTTTCCCATGCTTAATCATTTCTATGATGCTGTTTATAATATAGAATACAAAGTTAGCCCATTTCTTATGCTACATAGAATGTCCTATTTGTCCGATTGGTTTACATTTTTTTTAACTTCAACGATTGCTGAAACAAGTTTCCAGATAGAATAACAATTGTAGATATGGAAACTTTCATCAAGGTGAACTGTTTTACTAGAGTGTATATGGTGCATGTAAAAAAAAAAATCAAGTTTATCAAGTATATAATTGCAATTGGTCTTTTGTGTAAGTTTATGTCTGTCTGTGTAGACAGACATAAAGTTACACAAAAGACCAATTGCAAGTTTTTCCATTTTCATCATGGTTGCGGAGATCAGCTAGGGACCAATCTCATTATCAAAATTGTTTTTCCTTTCTATTAGTTGCATATAGGAGGCTGTGTCCTAAATACATCCCATAAAATTGTATAACTGCTTCTCCAGGGATGGACTTAAACCAGGCTACAGTGATTTTTTTTTTTTGATGTGATTGACAAAATAATATACTGCAAAGCAGTCAGGTTTAAAATGGCAGTTATAAATAGAATATTAAAAATTAATGCATACATTAATATTAGCAGCATTTTCCCTCTAAAACATAATAAATACTATGCAGAGTTTGACATGAATAATTTACCATGGCTCAAAATTATCAGTGCAAATGACAGAGGTTAATTATGAATGTAAATAATTTATAAGGATTTTTCCAGGTATCATTTAAGATTTTTTTAAAAACTCAAAATGCAGTTCAGGGATTTATTGTGGATGGACAATGCAAGTGAGGCTTTTCTAATAATACAATTGGATAACATGGTATGGATTTATTAACAATTAAAAATACACATACACCTCAATTACTTTTTAATTCTGTGTATACTTGTGCTAGACTGGCCAAAGACATTATACTTCCCGGGAAAAATTTGGTTGCATTATTGCAGAATAGATTTAATGGATCTGTGATTATTTCTGATTATCTTCAGAAATGCAGTTCAAATTAATCTACTGAATTTTTTATCACTTATCAGTTGGTGTATAATTTCATATAGATAATTAGAGCTCCATTACAGCACAGAAAACTCATCCCTTCCAAATGTTTACTAGTTTTAGCTTTAATGGCATTAATAGTGGTTTATATTAAATAAATTTAAATATGAATTGATATTAATCTTAATACAGGTACAACTCAACGTACAACAGTTCATTTAGTGACCATTTAAGGTTACAACAGCACTGAAAAAAATTATGTGTGACCATTTTTCACACTTATGACCATTTCAACAGAGGTGGCATTCAGCAGGTTCTGACCAGTTCTAGAGAACCGGTAGCGGAAATTTTGAGTAATTTGGAGAACTGGCAAATACCACCTCTGACTGGCCCCACCCCCATCTATTCTCTGCTTCTTGAGTTCCAGCTGATTTGGTTGCCCTGCAAAGGAGAGCGGAGCTGGAAAGCAGGTTAGTGGGGTGGAGAGGAAATGGAGATTTGCAGTATGCCCACCAAGCCACACCATGCCCATCAAGCCATGCCTACAGAACCAGTAATAAATTTTTTTGAATCCCATCATTGCATAGCAGTGATCAAAATTCAGATGCTTGGCAACTGACTTATCTTTATGATGGTTACCTTTTGTGACCTTCTGACATGCAAAGTCAATAGGGATGGCAGATAAAACAACAACTGTGATTCCCTTAACAATGGTGACAATAAAGATTGTAAAATGGGACAAAACTCACTTAACAAATGTCTCATTAATTTGATCATAAGTTTAGGACTACCTATATGTATATGTCAGCATTAAACAATTTGTGCTATCCCATGGGAGCCAAGGAGCATTGAGGTCAAGAACTATTTTTCAATGAGGCGCTAGTAATTTGGAACAACTTCTCTTTGGGAACACAATTGATGTCATTTGTAGAAGCCTTCCATAAGTTTGTTAGCAAACTGAATTGCTTAGGGAAGGCTTGAGGCTGAACTTGAGATTTGTGCTGGCTTTATTATGCTAAATTGTTTTATATTGTACTTTACTGTGGACAATTTACTGTTGCTGCATTTTAAATTGCTGTAAGCTTTTGGGAGTTGATAAAATGTGGCTGCACATCACTTAAACAATCAACAATTATAATAGCACATTGTAATATAAAGTTTATCATCACCTCTATTTTAATTGTTAATGGAAAAGAATGTGTGATCTGAATTCAGATGAATGGATAGGTATAGAAGAACCTCCTATCTTTTTTTTTCCTCGCATGAGAACATTCCAACAATGAGAACTCCTGAAAAAACTCCTTAAGAAGTTAAATTAGCACGGGAGTCCTTAGGACTTTGCCATGTAGCATCTTAGAACATTTGGATAATATTATGTTGGAGAAAGCAGTACATCATTATGTGGATAAGTGTTTATGTTTAGTTTTATTCATGAAGTTTGGTTTAATAAAAGTGAAGCTTATATAAGCCTCATTTTAACAAAACTTCTGAGAAACTGGAAATGTTAACTTTTTCTTATGATGATAGGATAAATTAGATTTTAATGTATTGAACTACACAGGTGCTCAAAAATTGGGATAAACTAAACAGAGAGTGAGCGTGAGAGAGTGAGAGAAAGCGAGTGAGCAAGAGAGAGGAAGAGAGAGAGAGAGAGTGCTATATTCCTTCCTTCCTTCCTTCCTTCCTTCCTTCCTTCCTTCCTTCCTTCCTTCCTTCCTTCCTTCCTTCCTTCCTTCCTTCCTTCCTCCCTGTTAAAAATATGTAGCATGTAATTGCAGCAGGAGCATCATCAACAGCAGCAGTCAAGCAGTGCTAAAGCAGCCAAATTTCTGTAATTTTCTTGACTCAGGAGGAATGGTTCATAGATTCTGGATGCATCCTGTAAATTAGCTCATTTGAGATACTTCCGTTCAAAAATTGGTTATAGAAACGAGAGTTTTCTACCAATTCTACCATAATATTTTATGTATTTATTTGTATTCCACCTTTCTTATTTTACAAATAACTCAAGGTGGCAAACACATCCAATTGTCCTCTTCCTATTTTCTCCACAACAACTACCCTGTGAGGTGGGTTGGGCTAAGAGAGTGACCGGGCCAAAATCACCCAGTTGGTTTTTCATGGCTGATGCAGGGCTTGAAGGACTCACTTTTTAGACTGGTTTCATACACAGAGAGAGAGAGAGGGTGGAGGGGGAGGGAGGGAGGGAGGGAGAGAGAGAGAGAGAGAGAGAGAGAGAGGGAGAGAGAGGGAGAGAGAGGGAGAGAGAATGTAATTGTCCTAACATGAAAATATTTAGGGAATCAAATTTTTAATCCCCCATGCTTCAGTGAATACAGTAAAAAACATATAACTGCACAGAAATTTATTTCACTTGGGGAAATACTTTTTTTAGGACTTTTACAGCCCTAAAAATAATAAATCAGTTTATTTTTGGGCAAGTATAAAATCCCTTTGTTGATATTATCTTGTTCAAGTCACATCTCTTTACTTTAGAGAGATGTGACTTGAAGAAGATAATATCAACACAGGGATTTTATACTTGTCCCCAAAATATACTGATTTATTATTTCCTGGACTGGAAAAGTAGAAGAATAGTATCACATTCCTTCCCCTAATGGAAAATAAATTTCTTCAAGATTATATACTAAGTTAAATGCCATGTAAAATGTTAAGGGTTTGTAAGAAGCACTTAATATTTTACTTAGTATTTAAGTAAATAATTACATACTTTAAATACAGTTAAAGATTCTGTGGTTGTCAACTGTAGAGTTGAAAGGCCATGCTTGAGACCCAAGCTCTGCGCAACGGATGAGCTCCTGTTACTTGACAGTTTCAGCCCACCTAGCAGTTTGAAAGCATGCAAATGCAAGTAGATTAATAGATACCACTCTGGTGAGAAGATAACAGAGTTCTGTGCCCCTTTGATATAAAGTCATGCTGGCCACAGGTGCACAGAAATTGTCTTCAGACAACACTGGCTCCCTTGGCTAAGAAACAGAGATGAGCACTGTGCCCTAGAATTGGACATGACTGACAGGGAAACTTTTACCTTATAGGTAAACCATTATGTATTAAATTATCCCAAAGGGATACATACAAAATTATATAGAGCTAAAATATATTAAATTCACTTAGTATAATAATGCTAGGGTCTTTTTAAAAATATTTTTGTTATAATTTATCTATCAGAACATTTTAAGGAACAGAATAAACAGAAAAGGCAGAAAGGGACATAATGTTTATGGAATAAAACATCAGTAAATGAACAGGGAATCTCCTGGGATCTTACCTCTACATGAAGTACCATCATTGGTTACAAAGCTTGCGTTGCCATTACTAGATTTGTATCCATCTTTGCACATGCAGAAGTAGCTTCCCATAGTGTTTGTACAGTTTGCCTTTTCTCCACAAAGTTGTGTGGCATTTGCACATTCATTATCATCTGTAAATAAACAAAATTATTTGCTCTCTGTTAAAATGATTTCATTCCTTCCAAAATGAAAACTTTTAAATTTTCTGAGACTTTTCAAGTGGTATTGACTTTTTTTCTGCTGATAAAAACTTTAAAATAAATCCAGGTATCAAATGATTCAGGAGCTGCATCCTCAAATAATTGATTTCATACTTTTACTTAGACACCTGAGGGGTCTGTGTGTGTGTGTTTGTGTGTGTATGTATGAGTTTGGGTGTGCACGCATGCGCATGCATGTACACATACTCACATATATTCTAAAGGCAAATAGTCGTAATCAGGAATAGTAAACATTTGTTTCTGGCATACAGCTATGACAATAACTTCCTTTTGCTTCTTTTTTAAATGCACTCAGACAGTAGATTCTAAATTTTAAAATTGATCTTAAAAAATCTTAAATTCACTAGTTTTAAATTGGATGTCTTTGTCTTTGTGTGAGTGTATGTCTGCCTGTATATTATGTCCATGCCTGGTGTGCGTGAGTGTCTTTGTGTTATGTACATATGCATTATTGTTTTACATATTTAAGTTGATAGAATGCTATGGAACTTAGTTTCCAGGACTGAAGCCTATAATACTCTGCTAACTTACTCATGCATTTAGGGGTGGGGTGGAGGAGAGAGAGAAAGAGAGGAAGAGAGAGATTCTCATACAATAATGGGCCTGGGGATAGGGTTCTGTGTGATCCATGGTATCCCTATGGCACAAACCATTCAGTTTATTGACCTTCAGGAAGTGCTAACTAATCTGCAAGGAATTCCTGATATTTACTTGAATGTAAGTAGAATGTGAATAGAATGTTGAAAAACTGTTAATGTTGACTCTGCCATCTGTTTGCCATCAGTGAGTTCAGATTTTTCCATTAAATACAGCAGGGTAATAAATGTGAAAAATGAAACATGGTATTTCTAGAATGAAGAAGAGAACATCTCTGGCCCAACGATAAACAATACCATGTTTATACAATGATAGAGATCCACAGATTTTTCCATTTTTATGAACTGCAAGACTTAGCCTTAAAAATAATAGAGCTTTTTCTAAATTCATAGTCAATCAACTCAGAACTACTGACGTGACACTTAAGTCATAACCTCAAAATCTTTAAAATATTTTGTCTAAGAGGAATGTGATAGGATTACATCTGTGTAAGGTAAAGGACCTTACCAAGAGTAAGACATAAATTAGGTGAACATTTTGAAGAAAAAAGAGGGCATTCTTGAATATGTGACATTTATATACAATTCAAGCAACTGATAAGTGAATTCACTGAATTGGTATATCCATTGCTAGATAGACTGTTTCTTGACTCCTTATAGATTTTGATCCTACTTGGCATTTCAGTTTGTAATCTATTCTGTTTTCCTTCTCTAGCATCTTACATACTGTATTACATAAAATGTACATAGGAAAATGTATTTGACTGCCCAATATATTTTTTCACTTCTTGTTTGTTTTTCTATTTCAACATTTGATAATCTGTGCCTATAATTGTCAGCAGAATATTTTACTTGGGGATATGAGAGTGTTTTTGTATATATGCACTTTAAAATTCTTTTTGAAATATTTTGGATACTTCTACAAATCTCAAGGTATTCCTGAGTATAATGACATTTCCCTGATACCATGGATCATTTTCAACCTAAATCCCAAAAATGTTTACCTAAAATTGTTCAACAATACACACTAGTAAAAAGGCAATAACCATAAATCTTCATTGCTAACATTTTCATATGGTTGAATGCCCAATTAAATAAATAGGTCTTTAATTCCTGGCAGAAGCATTTCATAATGGGAAATTGCCACGCTCTAAGGAATGTTATTCTCCATTGGGAAGACCACAATATTGTATCTTCTCATCTGGACCACAATCAAACAAATATCCTTAACTGTAGAACTAAAAAATATAAACACTGGGTAGGTTACACATGGAAAAGGGTTATATAGAAAAAGAAAATGATTTCTCTGATGTCTATGAAGATTCTCAACCTTCCAGGTGATGGTTGACTCAAAGCTGCTTTTTCCACCTTTGGGACAACCATGAACTGAAGAAGCTTCTTGGATGAGAAGCAAAAAAGTTTTTAAAGAAAAACCAAGAAAATCCTTTTGTCTTTCAAAAAAAAAAGCCTTTTGAAAAAGCACTTTTGGGATTCCTCTGATAGCCCCAGTTCTGTCATGTCCCAACATTGTTGATTAGAGCCTGATATACTTTTGGGGTTTTATTTCTTTACAGTATTTATCATTCCTGTTTGAGTTAGTTCAACTCATGCTCTTGCCCATGGAACAATCAGTTAACAATATTTCTATTATTCTTACAGATGTGGGAGCACTACAGTACACATATCATGTGTAATGTTTTCTTCATTTATGTATGCTAGTTTTTTTTGTAACCTATACAAAATGCATCTCTTGTAGTGATTGAAAGTGTACTTGATATGAGAGGCTTATCAAACAGCAAGGCATAGATTAACATTGGATTGTAGAAGACAAACATAATGTTAGAATTCTCAACTAGGCGGAAACCCACCCACCCACCCAACAGAATAGGAGAATATATTCCAGGACAACACAGTTGCTTTCAACCCATTATTATATTCCATCCTTTTTCCTTTTAAATGCAAGCCAAGTATTTCCATCACACGTTTTTTTTCCATGGGCTGAAATGTGGTACAGTGCAAAAAAAAAAAATTGCTTTTACTGTGGGAACCATCAGCTATGGACCTACATTTGGTGGGTCCCTGGAGACATATTCTCTGCTCTGGCACCTGCCTTGTGGAACATTCTCTGATGATTATATCTATAAAGGGCAAGGTATTCTGATGAACTTCAATGAAGTGGCAGTTTCCTGGGAAGGAGGAAACTCATTCCAAGGAGAGGAATGAGACAAGAGACAACATATTCCATAACTGGATAGAAGACAGAAGAAGAGAGTTATGATAGCCACTCCCTAGAATCTCCCAGGATAAATAATTAGGCTGAGGGTAATGTCAGTTTAGTCTGGCAAGACTCTGGGTTATTCTATGCCATTCTTAGGCTTGGCCTGACACATTCTTCCTCCTGAAATTAAGTTTACTCCATTCCTTTTGATATTCCAGAAGTCCCTCAAGACATGGTTATGTAACCAGTTCTAGGGTTCCCGGAGCTATGTACCCACTCATATACTCCCTTTGCCTAGGGTTAGCTTTTTTATAATTTTTATTTTATGCTTGATTTTATATGTTTAAATTGCCTGATTTTGTATTTGTTGTTATTGGATTGTTGTACACTGCTCAGAGGCACAGTTGGTGAGATAGGGTGGCTATATAAATTTTATTCATGATGAATAAATAAATGCTTCAACCCTCAAATGAGGCAAGGAATGTTTTCAAAAAGCAAGTTGTAGTCCCTATGAAAACCTTTACAGGTTTTGCTTATTAATTTTATCATAGTGTTTGCAGCAATCCACATAGCTAGGTAGGTCCTTGTAAAAGTTTTTAATGGATCTATACACAGTAGATCCTCTCCAGTGCCCAATGTCCTTTCCAACAAAGGATATCCCTTCCTATTTTCACAAAAGAAACAACAAACTCTTTATTGCCGACTTTCAAGGCTAGCTTTTCTTTAGTTATACAGGATAACTAAATTTCTGGTGGAATTAACTTGCTTTCAGAGAGAATCTGCAGCAATAAGAGATTAGATAAACTTACTCCAATATCCAGTGTCTGGATATTTAAAACAGGGGAATCGGTTCTGGGGAAACTGTGATGGTATTATAGCTTTCAATTTATTTTCTAGTAAGAGTCAGGGCTTCCTTGGATAGTTAGAAAATAATTACGGTAACATACAGCCTCCCACTTCTATCCCCAAATGATACATTGAATACTTTTCCAGGCTGAATTTTACATTTTTTTACTGCACTTTTATTTCCATCTGACTCCTATATCAGAAACTATTTGATGAAGCTAAAAAGTATACCTGTGGGGCAAATTCAATATGGAAAATATAAAAGCTACACATTGGAATAGCCCTAGTCAAGTTATATGAAAGTTGCAGGGGTGTTGATTTAACCATTAGGTTCCTCAGCCATTAGGAATCAAAGTTAACAATATTGACTATCCTGGTTGACATTTAACAAGGGTGCTCCAAATAAAAATATTATTGAGAATGAAGAACATACCTGTGGATTGTGAATATCTAGGTTATAATACTCCTATATATTTCATGTAGAGTATATTAATCATCAGCATGTTTTTAATAAATCAAAGACACAGGACACAATAAATCAATTTTGGGACCTAAGGGTTGAAATTTATCTTTTAACTTTTTATCATAATTTACTATGCTATTGAACGCTGCATGGTTCAAGGGAAATAGCAACTGTGGGGTTTATAGATTGAAAAATGTGTAACCTTTGTAAACAAGCTTGTTTTTCTCATCTTGGTTAGAAAGGATACCTTTGAAGGCAACCAAGCATATACTCCATGACCGCATTACTAGCTAGCTTAATTATGCACAGCCAAATGACTTCTGTCAAGGATACTCTTCAAGCACTGAGGAATAAACTTTTTGAGAATAATTCAAGATTTATTTTAAAAAGGAAACATTGAAAAGAACTCAAGAAAAAAAGTTTGCCTGCTAAGTGATAAGAAGATATTGATTTGCCAATGATATATAAGCTCAGTACAGTTCTGCACAGTTTGCACTGATACTGTGCTGGAAATTTTTAAGAATTTCAAGTGCGCCTCCACATGAACATGAATGTACATGAGACCCTTGCAACTCTACTCTGATACAATTAGAATTGGATAGTTGAGATTTGATAAGGACACGATTCAATTTAAGTCTGTGATTGGAGAGAAAACCCATTTGATTCTCAAGCTGCTTTGTGGTTTGAGATTTAATTAGAAAAACATTACTCTCTGTGTTATCATGAGGAAGCCTCAAGATGAATACAGTCAGTGGCTTCATTTTGGGGGGGTCAAAATAGGAGAAAA